TTAACGTCACATATTCGTCCATGTAAACATTATAATTAACGGGTTCCAAATTCATTTAATTTTAATTAGTAAATAAGAAAAATATCGCGTGTACTGATAGACATTCATAAGTGTATGACGATATTACGCATACGCATGTTCTTAACGAATTACAATGGCTCAGAATACCCGAACGAATGTGAACTGAGAAGACAAGAGTTTTCTGGGAAATACGTCTTTACTTGCATCAAGAAATTCATGGCTCGAAAATTACCAAGCGCACAATATCTCACACTAAGAAAATAAAAATCTTACGCCAAGAAATTTTATAGTTGACCGAAAGATGAGGCCAATTAGTTCATATCAAGAAAACGAGTTCTCAAATCAATTCAAATGGTTTTTGCATTAAAATATTTTTGAATTGAGGTTAAACAACTATTAAATGAATTGATTCAATTTTACTTGGTTTGAGATTTCGCTTTCTTGTCATCAAGAAATTGTCCTTGTCTGTAGGACAATTACAAAATTTCTTGGGGAATTTTTTTTTCTCCGTGCAACATATTTTGCTCTTAAAAATTTTCAAGCCACGAGTTTCTTGAAAAACTTTGTTTTTCTCAGTGCAGCGAGAGAGAAAGCCCGCGTTGTGGGTGTCCGTGCGCTCATAGATAAAGTGGTGATTTGTTAACAATGAACGAATCGTGGTAATAGTCAACAAACCTCGTTAACAGCAACTAAATCCTTCTATGAGTGTGGTACATTGTGCCTCATCGCCTCGGCGACGGCGCTTTTTTGAAGGATTTGAAGAGAAATTTGGTGACGCGAAGGTGTAAATGTCAACATCATTACAAATTCATTCAGTTAACAGGATTCTTACGTTTAGTTAACAAGTGTAACAAATATTTAACAAATTTTGTTTTTATTTCGTTAACAAGTGTCTCAGTTAGAGACGCCCCACGGAGAGAAATGTTCAGTGAAAATTACGGAATTCACAATTCCCTCACCGATTACGGAATCGACTCAGAAAATTTAAGTGACAGTATCGTAATTTTTCACAGGCGATTCAGATCAAAATTACGGAACACTCTGGAAAAATTCCGTGACAGTTCCGTAAAATTTCCTACAACCACATTTCACTCTAATATTACGGAAAAGATACATAATTTTTATTGAATATTTCTCTCCGTGCACGTTTTGAAATCTGTTAGGTCAGAAAAAGTTGGGACGTGAATTTTTTACATCTCATAGTTTTGGTCGTACTTTCTGCTGTTCCAACGAACTGAGTAGATGGAAATTGACAGTCATGAATTTTCCGGTCATAAAATTTTCTCACATTGGTAATGACTCGTATTTTCAACTAGTCATTTCGGTTTGGATACTGTGAACGTACGTATTTGATAATCCACTCAGCACCGTGTCATCGTGAAACCCTGGCGCTATCTCCGAATCCCAAATTATAGTGCCATTAGTTAGAAGTAAGGTTACGGTCAGCTAGTAAACTGGTCATAATGTCGTATGACAAGAATTTGTCATTTCCTGGCTCGTCCCATGACGGCCAATGACGTAATAAGTAATAAGATTTTCAAGAATTTTCATGAATGTAAAATGTACAGTTTGCATTGGTTTTTTTCATCAAATTGTGAAACGAGACAAACAAACAAAAAAACAAACAATTTCAAACAATTGACAACAGTTGGCAACAATTTCCAGAAAGTGTTCCGGAAATTTCAGCCAAAAACTCTCAACAGTCAGTATTTTGCGGCTTCTTGTTACCAATTACATTCACCAGTGGAGCGTAAATATGACATGTTAAACCTGTCATGAGGGCTGAGTTAATGTCGTCGGCAAAGAATAATATGTTTTTACTTGAGAGGGTCGAAATATTTGACTCGGTCCAGATGACGTTTTTTATCATTTGGACACTTCAAATTCTTATGTTCTTCCAATCAGCTAAAGACCGTAAAGATCAAGAACTTCTAAATAAATAAATAATAGATAAATACCAGAAATAATAGAAATAAATAAATAACGTAAATTGCACAAAAACATTAATTTTCGATGCAAATGTTATTCGAACCTTCTTAGACCCTAAAAAGTTCCTTTCTTTCCACAGTCTTTTCTCAAAAACTCCATGCTCAATTTCAATTGAATTCGTGTCAGCTTTACCACAATTTATAACTTTTTAAATCAATTAAAAAATAATAATTGAAATTACGAATCAAAAATTTTCGTTTACTGAGTTATTCCATATTCTTTACATCCCCGATGCCTTTCCAAAGCCCTCCCTCATCGCCCTCGCCCCCCTCGAGTGATAAAAATGTTAATGCCGGTAGCATCATCGTTCTTTTCCCGAGAAAATTGCGAATGCCACTATAAAAGGGGAAAGATTGCAGTAAAATCTGCGGGTAGAACAATCTGTCCTCCACGATGATGCTCGCTAAGTACCTTTAATAGAGCCGGGAAGTCAAAGAGGGGTGAAACTCCCTTATTCATCATCCTCACGAAGGAAATGGTAACATCCTTCAGCTCCATTGGTTTCGAGAGATACATTTGGCCTCACACATCTCACTAAGATGAATCGTATCCCGGCAAAATGTATTCAGTACGACGTGTATATATGTATCTCGTTTGGGAATCTCATGGGGCAATATAGTTAACGCAGCCTCCGGGTATAACCCTCCCGCTCTCCCCCCGCGCCGCCCTGAGAACGCAATAGCAACTGCTCTCTCTCTCTCTCTCGCTGGTCTCACAGGAAGGTACGTTGAGTACGTGGTCTAGGTTTATAACCCAGAGGGTCTTATCGCGTTTGGGTTTACGAATGAAAGTAGAGACGGTGGAAAATAATTGTTAGTCTCTCTCTTCCTCGTTTCCACCTTCTGAAAAACCATCACCTCTGGCCAGAGCGTCACAGACCACAATGCAACGCGAGTTAAAGTACTCTGAGAGCTCATGGAGTGAAGCACGTTAAGGGGTAACAGAAGGCCACCGTTTCCTCGAAATTTTCAAACGAATTTCCTGCGCAAAGTTATCAAGATTTTTTGAGCCCAAAGCACATTGATCTTTATCATCACTTTCTGGAGATTAATGTGCTTTGATTTGTAAAAATATCGGCAACTTTCAGCAGGAAATTTGGCAAAAAATTTGGAAAATTAGCGGCATTCTGGTACCTCTTAAAGATGTATTACACCTTTTTCGCCAAAATTCACGTTTTTTGAATTTTCGGGGAAATTGTTGATCGGATTGACGTGAAAAAATATCCCGTTTGTGCGTTTTATCATTATTTAATGACTCGCGAAACTTCATGATCGTGGAATCATTTTCCTGCGTTTTTTTCTAAAACTTTTCGGAAATTTACAAAACTGAAACTTCGTGAGTCAGTCAATAATGATAAAGCGCAAAAACGGTATATTATTTCACGTCAATCCGATCAGTAATTTGCCAGAGAAAATGACAAAAACGTGATTTTTGGCCGCAAGGGTGTAGTACATCCTTAAGGGGAGACTACTATGAGTTTTAAAAGTCGCCGGCTATTGGAATGCGATTACTCATACATTGAAGATCGATTATATATGTTTAAAAATGAATAATTAGTGCAAAAAAATTGTTTATTGTTCATTTGTCCCGCAGATGCTTAAAATATTGAAAATAGTCCAGGGCCTCCAATTTTTGAGCTACAGAGATTTTTTTGTCAATATTAAAAAAAAAATATGCGCAATATCAATTACGAATTAGTTTTTTAAAATTCGACTCCTACATAGCCAATTTCGTTTTTTTTCAAATAAAAAATTGCATCAATCGCGTACAATAGCCCAAAAAATGTTTCTAAATGAATCAAAAATATGGTTAAAATATTTTAAGGATCAATTTTTCCCTATTTTACATGAATGGCGCAAATTTTTACATTAAACAAATCGAAATTAGCTGTATAGGAGTCAAATTTGAAAAACCTAATTCGTAATTGTTATTGCACACATTTTTTCAAAAATAAAAAAAAAACACTGCAGCTCAAAAATTGGATGTTCTGGACTATTGTTAACACTTTGAGTGTGTGTGGAGCAAACGAGCAATGAACAATTAATTTTTTGCACTAATTATTCATGCTTAGACATATAATCGATCTTCAATGCATGAGAAATCTCACTGCAATCGCCCGCGACTTTTAAAACTCACAGTAGTCTCCCCTTAAAGAGGAAGTTGGACGATAAGGTGCGTGTGGAACGGGTCGATAAGGTGGCGGGGGATAATTTTGTGAATGTATTTTCGTTGGGTTAATTTGCACACAAACTAGACACTTAAAACAAGTGATGATGAGAGGTGAATAACACACTGATGTATGTGGCTGCATGAGTGTTTACGCTAAGTGAAAAGAGTTTATAAAAGAATGTTATGGCCCTTTTTCCTCTTTAGCTTCCTCCAGTGGGGCGCAATGGTAGCATGGATGATCGGTATGCGTGCCAGTAGGTCGACGTCCTCCAGCGGTAGTGCGGGCGCACGTGAGGCGCGAGTGAGACGGAGAGGTTTTCAAGTTGAAACGAAATAAAAAATAACGAAAACAAAGTAAATGAGAGAAAATAAAGAGGATAAAGTCACATGCGCGGATCATTGAAGGCACTTGAGGTATGGCGCGCTCTTTCTCTCTCACTTCCGGCGAGATACTGCAGCGCAATGGAGATATGACGGCACTTTTTCATTGCCTCTAGGCTGAAGGATTCACCAAAGTGAGAATCGTGGACGACTTCTACATTTGCCTCAACCAATGGGGACTTCTCCTCTGTACTTTCCAACTGGGGGGATTTTTTTTTTCAATGAAAAGACGACGTTACCTCAGTCGTGCGTAGATGATGCTCCTGTGAAGATTCATTATTTTGCTCATGTGATCTTGTTTTAGTAGTTCCGAGAGCCAATTTGTCGCGGGAATATTTACTTCTGGTATTTTCTATTCAAATTCGACGGTTTATTCCTCAGGAGGAACCCACTGAGTTCACTCTGAATGATTGAATGAGGTGAATACAGGGACATTCACTATGAGTAAACGTACAACGAGTGCATTAAATTCCTGCGAGAGAATCAGACCAGAAAGATCAAGGAATCCTGGTATTCAGAGGCTAGTGTGGCAGGATGCATCAGCCAATGGTGCATGTGGTAGTCGTGTACATTTTCACGTGTATGAGGGAATTCAGAGTGAAGACTTTGAAGTCACCAATCCCCGAGTCGCTCTGCGAAGGTTTGATATCATTTTCTTTCCTTTTTATTTTATTTCCCTCCATTTCCATTATTCTCTGTCTATTGCTCTCTTTCCCGCGTATCAGGGGTGAAAAATTCCAACGGAAAAAGTGCCATTACAAATTCCCCGGTGATACGTTGATAAAAAAAAATTCACGTGTTGTATTTTCCATGGTGTGATGGAGTAAAACCCGTTTGGTACGAGATCAGTCGTTCGACATATTTCATTCAATATCGGGAGTTCATTATTTTTATTGCGGAATGTCTGGAATGTTCTCAATATTTTGATGAGAAAGGGTTTTTCGGAGGAACTGGTGAGGAAGCTTTTTCACTCATGCTGTATGTACGAAATAAATCGATGTATTGGTACTTTTTTGATGGATGTAGAGTGATATGAATACGTGTTGTCTGATATATGTCACCTACGTATTGCGTTCATAAAGGTGATGTATATGACGCCAACAGGGGTCAGGTTAATATAAAATCTAACTAAAATGTATGGTTTTGAAAAAATATGTGATTTTGAAAAAACTGATTATTGATTAAAAGGAATTTTTAAGTGAGTATTGCGATGATTATCCAAGTAGAATCTATTGTGATTTATTCATGACTTTTAATAATATTGGAATGGCAAATGTACTGCTCAATGTCCTCAGGGGGTTACCATGCCCCAGGACTTAATAGACGCTTCAATTCATTCATTCATTCATTATATCGAAGACTGCATTCATTGCATTCAGTGAACCATCATTCATTCCACATATTTCATGGAATATTGGAACTGAATATGAAGAGTATATTGTGTGAAGTGGCACTGGTTGTCGCTAATATCTGTTGATTCTCAATGGGAGTAGAGAAAAGGCCATTCTTCAATCAGGGATTGTACGCCAAAAATACCTATTTCATTCAATACCAGGACTCTATTATGTTTATGGCCTATTATCTCGGAGTGTTTTGAATATTCTACTAAATATAAACTGTATCGTCTCAATTGTTAACATTACACATTCAAATGCAAATAATTCCGTAGCGAAGTGGTCAAACGGTTTAAGTGTATTTAGTCTTTAGTTGCGTTTTCCGGAAATATTTCCGAATTTAAGGGAGATAGCGAAGTTTTTATAATGACCTTTTTTGTAGAGCGAATTGAGAGCTACTAAAAAGGTTTTGAGAAGAATTTTGCTATCTGCCTTAGATTTTGAGATATTCATTGAAAACTGGCCAATAGCCAAAATCGACTTGAACCGTTTGGCCACTTCACTACTGAATTATCAAGAATTAATTTCGAGAGGAAGTAGTGGAGGAGCTTTCTCATTCATATATTAATTTGGAAAAATAATAAATTAATGCGTTGGCCCCTTTTCACTGGATGTGTAATTATATGATTACGTGCAATAAAAGAGATCGGTCGTTCGACGAATTTCTTAAATGTGATGCATATTATATCGAATATTCATTGCATTCATTGCATTCAGTGGACCACCATTCATTCCCCATATTTCATGGAATATCGGAACTGAATATGTTGAGTATATTGTATGAAATGGTACTGGTTGTCGCTAATATCTGTAGATTCTCAATGGGACTAGAGAATAACCCATTCTTCAATGAGGGATCGTACATCAAAAATACTCATTTCATTCAATACCAGGACTCTATTGTGTTTATGGCCTATTATGTCGGAATGTTCTGAATATATTTACTATGATGAATCGTCTCAATTGTTAATGTCACATTCCGAATGCAAATAATTATCAAGAATTAATTTTGAGAGGAAGTAGTGGAGGAGCTTTTTCATTCATTTACTTAATTTTTAAAAAAATAATAAATCAATGCATTGGCTCTTTCTCACTAGATACATAATTGTATGAATACCCGAGTCGAATAATTCGACCTGACAAATTCTACTTAGGTCTCTCCGTTCAGAACTGGATAGGTCTTGGGAAGCCTCTTCCCAAGTGCTTCCGAGACCTTTCTACCTCTGGTTATGTCCCACTTCAGCACTTGTTAGGTGTAAGCAGGACTTGCATTCAGACTTTCCAAATCCTTGCCGGTCCCCGTAATTCTATGGGCCTATATTAAATCTGCGTTCATATCCCTATTTACTCATGCGTTATTGAAATAAAAAATGCAATTATTGTTTTTTTTTTAATCTCGAAAATCGACATTTCACGGGAGGGTGGAGGGGAGATGCATGTATGCGGAGGCTTGACATTTTTATCCAACAAGCGGAGAAGGTTGCAGAATCTATTCTAGCCACTCTTGCCCCTCCGCTTGCATGCATTGTCCAAATAAAAAAATAAAGTGTTAACAAATCTGACCTTTGTTCCAAGTAAAAACCGAAAATCTGACCCTATGGCCGCCGGTGAAATTTTTTTTTTCAGTTTTCACTTTTTCCACATACTTTTGAGAGTTCTGAATAGCCCGTCGCTTAAATAGTTGGAATCAACGTTCACCCGGCTAAAAAATTCGATTTTGCCGAAAGTCGACTTTCTCCCGAGAAAAACGAAAAATCTGACCCTTTGAAAATTTGAAAAAAAAACTTTTTCAGTTTTCACTTTTTCCACATACTTTTGA